CAAAAAATGCTAGAAAATTTAAGAGCTGAATCCTATCAACCTAGATTGATGTTGGAAAATATTTTAGAATTAATAGTTAAACAAGCTGGGAAGAAATATGCTTGGAAGAAAAATGAGGTGAAAGTTCCAGAGGTTGAAGTAACTAAGTTTCATGTGGATTTTGACACGCAGCGTTTACCACGCGAAGCACATTTGTATTTCAGCCAAATACACAGCTTCTGCTACGAACTTTAGGCGTGTAGTTGGTGACTAACGCAGGAGATTTTCGAGGAGGATATAATTCAGCATTCGTCATATATTTCAATGTCATATTTTCGTCTGTGTTTACAGTTAAAAGTTCCTTATCAATTAGGCGTAGGATTTGACGGACACATGGCATTACTGAAACTGTGTTCAGCAACTAAACCAGGTGGAAGTATATACAACTATTGTGATGATTCTCCAGCAATTAATGAATTGTTTAAGGTTGTTGCACAAAATGTCAATGTAGTGGATAAGAAAGATTTGATGACTTTATTACATTTCAGGTATATTGTTAAAGATTTTTCAAAAGAATGTTACTGTAAACTGTTCACAATGTTTGTTCATATGATGAGTGATGGAAGAATTGACGCTAGTGATTTATTTAACTTCCTCAGACGCCTTCAGAAGTGTGACATAAGCAAATTTTCTAAAGCAGATAAAAAAGATTTTGATGCTGTAATAAAAGGCATAGGTTACGGCCTTGCTGATGCGTCCGGTAGAAAGTTAAGCTTGTTAAAACAGGTATACGCTTTATTCTCCTCTCCCTATGGAAGCATTGTTTTAGCTTTAAACAAAGTGCTCATGAACAATATTCATAATCTAACGATATGTGAAGCTTTACTGATACATAAAGAGATTTATAAAAGAACAGAATGTGCTGTCGTTGCTAAAAAATTGTTATCGAAGATCGAAAATAAAAACCTTAAAAAAGTCACATTGACTGAAATCGAGCAAATGATTCCTAGTTTGATAGAAAGTCATTATGTGAATCAAAGGCTAGTAGATTTATTTGAGCGATGTGCTGAATCAAAATACCAACTGAGTCAATATATCCACTGGGTAAACCTGAGATACATGATGCTTCTCATAGGTTACATTGCTCATTTTTATATAGACTCAAGTTCTTGATAAGGCTTGCAATATTATATTGAAGACAAAATTAGGTTACAGTTCTCAGCAGCATATACAACATCTCTTCTTGACGCTCGATTGGAACACTAAATATTATTCCAAACGCGAGTAGTAACTTTTTTTATCACAAAGGTAGTATCACTTTGTACTTTTTAAAAACTGATATTTTAATGTTTTATAGCAGAATTTATTTAGTTGCGCTATAGTTAGAGAAGCATAAAAAGCATAAAAGACAACTTTCAACTCATTTGCTGAAACCAACCAGTGCTGAGCGTTGAGTGTATTTGCAATGTGCTCAAGAAAACAAGGACTTCCCCCTGAAGGGTTTTGAACCCACATAGCCAGTAATCCGTAGTTTACTATTCTAATGTGTTTTACCACTCAGCCATGCTGACACTTAATATATAAACTGATATTTGGTTATTTGTAGCACCCACATTTTGTATGATGTTACTTAAACTTATAGCAATAAGGAGTTATAATAAATCTTGTGTGGCGATCATTAGTCCAGTTGGGATCAAAATCGGCTTGTCTCCTTAAAATTTAAAATATGTGCTCTTTTCCTGTGATAGAAAATTTATGTTTTGATTTTCTGACATAATAATTTACATTTCATTCTTGTACTCATGTCCTTCTTTAGATGTCTCTTTATTTTTTTTAAACATTGTGCACTCTCGAATTTAAAATTTTCATATTTTAAGACCACCTCAATGAACTCAGGGTCTACATAGTCCTTCGGTTGTAAAATTAAGATGGATAATTTAATTACATGTGTCTCAATTGTACGAGAGTGAAAATTTCATGCATGAGTTTTAAGATATGTTTATGTGTTTTATTCTGCAGGTTGAGTTGCAGTTGATGAACAACTTCCACAACATCAACGTTCTGCTTCATCTTGAGATGATAGTATATCTGATATATCTAGACAGATTTCCTGTCAAATTAATGGACCATATATTAACAGATCAATTTATAGGCTCCATCTCAAGTTAGTTTGAAATTTTCAGGTTTTCTTTATTGTAAAATTGATAGGGAGGTATTGTTGTTTTTTTTTATCTGTCCTTTTGGCTGGTCATGATTCCATATTTTGCATAGTATGATTGTCGCATTTTATACTGATACTGTTAATGTACATTGACAGTTGGAATGTGTAATTTTCAATAGGAAAAAATGAGACACTGGCTTCCTTGATGTATCTAAAATATGTGTTATTTGTAGTATAAGCTTAAATACTTTAAATGTAGCCTAATGAACTTATTAATTTCTTAAACATAGATGTCTGTAAATAATATTTTAATGTTATTTATAACTGAGAAACATGTATCATAGGATTTTCTTTATTAAAGCAACTACCATATAGGAATTTCGCGCATATTAATGAACTATTTTGCTTACATGAGCTACTTTTTGTGAAGATTGTTGCCAACAAGATTTCATTTTCTTTATATTAAATCTGAAGTTCTGCTGAGAGCTTCAATGCAAACGATTAATACTATAACAGTGTATAAGAGCGCTAAATCAATTCGCTTACTATTGCACTTATTTGCTGTTTGATTTATTACAGGGTAGGTTTGGCACAAATACTTGTCTTTGTTGTAACGTGTAAAGATGATAGCGCAACACTTCAAACTTCTTGATTAAAATTTCATATTGACCGAGCGCAATAATATCCCTGAAGCTGACGGTCTCACTTCTCTCCTCTATGTAGGTTGTTCTAACATGCCTAATTGCCATAAGTAAGTATAGTTTGATGTTAATAAATTGGCAAAAAACATGTTTGTTGTAAAGAGTTTTCAACTGTTAGAAATAATCAATTCATGTTTCTGAAACTGACAGTGTTTTGTGAAAAATAAGTATATATTGCATATTGCAATCCAGATATTTATAACCTCTGATTGGCTAAGTCTTAAATACATACAGATCACAGGTTTTCAGATCTCACAGTACTATTGGATTTTATTGTCGCTATCGTTTTTGCCTTTCTATGTAACTGAAGAATGAGAAAACTACAAGGAGAGAGATGTGTAGGATTAATCCTATGAGAATTGTCTTCAGGTGGCAGATCTCTGAGTCAATTATTTTGCTTGTGGATAGAGGTCCTAGATACTCTTGGGAAAATATGATAAAGTAATTTAATCATATGTTAATAGATCTATTGTAACTTAAGTCATTAAATAAAATCTCATTTTTAAATAGTAAGAATTTTTATGTGATTAAGCATTGATATTCATTCTGTTTGTCGCATCAGTAATTCCTAAATCACTGCATTGAGTACTGAGAAGACACTTCACGGCTAAGTTCTTATACTTTATGTATTGAAATAGCGGATAAATCTCTAATGGCATACTTTTACTATTCAATGCTTGCGCTAGACAATTAACAGTCATAAGCAATTGTTGACATTTTCATAGGACGGAAATTTTTTGATACATTTTTATTGGCATTACTGCACGACCTGAAAGAAAACTGTCACATTTGTATCTCAAAGGTCAAGGTCATTCTAAGAGTTCAAGGGAGACAATAATAGATATTAGCTATAGGAAATTATTGACGTAACAAGAAATGTTCTTATTTTGATGGTTTGTTTGCTGGAGTTTAATTGTTGTATCTCACAAGCAGTAAGGATTTGGATAATTGTTAAACAAATTTTTATAGCGATCAACTAAGAGTGATACAACACTAGAAGCACAGTATTTAGTTTGCAGACTGATTTTTGTATTTTTCCAGTCAAAAATGATTGCATTTACACCAGAAAACTTATGGATACAATCATAATAAAATATAGTATTTTAAGGTTATGCAGACCCTGAATATTCTAATTTTTAGATTCTTTGTGTCAAACATGGCAGGCTTGGTGACAGTGGGATTAAATGTATTTGTGTCACCATATGACTGATGTTTACAGTGTAAGTGTGATATTAATAAAACATGTTCTGTAAATGTGAGCATTTAGAGTCATTTAACATGTTGTGTGATGTATATATATTGGTTTTCTATCATTAGGCATATGAAACAATACTGCAGTGTTTGACCAAAAATCTGTGAAAGGAAGGGAATGTTTTAGATTAAGGTGATAATGTTAAGCCACTGGTTGCTGAGAACATGATAAAGTTGCTAGTTAATATTGAGTAGTGGTTTCACATCGTAGGGTTCATTTAAAAATTTTTGTTTTTCTATTTTTTTTAATAAAATTCATACTAAACTAGTGGCTGTATACAGTGCCAGCACATTGAGAATCATAATCAGACTATAATCTCTTGGAATTTGCTTGCCTGGGGTATTCTACTGGATTTGATATAGGGGTGTTAGGACTGTCTTTGAAATTATCATAATACTTTATTTATTGCATGAAATTGTAGATTTATGAGAGTTTTTGTTAGATGATACTGTATGAGTCTTAATTATTGTTAGATAATATGCTAAAACATAAGGCTTAGTGGTATTATTTAATGATCATTTCTGTAAAACATATACACAGTGTGAGAACGTAGTTTGTTTTATAGATATTTATAGAAGTATTTTATATAATAATTATATAGGAGGAGGGTGGAATGGCTTCTCAAAGTTGTTAAAACAATTTTATTATGTTGAAAATTTTGGTTCCACATGTGGTTCAACCAATTAATGAAGATGGATGATATAGATAGACAATTTTAATAAACACTCGCTTTCATCCATCTAGAACTATAATACTCTTGAGCACAAGGCTTTGTTCTGTGGAACTTACTACCAAAGATTGTTAAAAGATTTTAGCGCCTCGCTGATGGGTGCATGGATATTGGGTGCCTGCCTCCATATGTAAGTGTTTTTTCTTGATTATACTGTAATGTATTATACTGGAAGTAAATTTTTTAAAATCTTTTTCTCCAAAACTCAGATACTCTTGTATTAATTACGTTATTGATTTGCAGATCTTGAAATACCATTTAACTTGTTGGCAAAAAGTTTAAACAAGGAACAAAAATATCCAAAGTAAGTATTTATTTAGATGATTATAATATGTATGTAGATTCTAGTAATAATTACAGTAGATACATTGTAACAAAGGGATATATTTTGTGCACATGAAATAAGTGTCTTTGTCCTTTGTCAACATGGAATATCTTAAAGTAAACTGAAGTATATGGTGTCCTATTTGGACCAGTTAAAATGTTGCCTGCTGACATTCCAGAGATATATTAAATCACCTCGCTGTGTTGTACCTATTGAAAGTAGGTGTTGTGTGATATAGTTTGAGGTAAAATATATAGTGTGCCTCTTCCTCAATATGCATTATAATATTTTATTGCTATGTCCTATAAGTGTATATTCTCACGCAAAATATCAAAATGTGTCCACTACTCAGGTCTGGTTTCACGTCACAAGTTGCCTATAGTTAAAGTAGATATATGAATGATGGTAGATAATAGTAAATTAAAGTATAGGTTTATCCCATAGATTTTGTCATCTTGACCATGGTCATTGTTACCAAGATTACAAGTGTTATTGGTGTTGTAAAGCTAAGCTTAATTCTGCAAATGGTGGTGTCTATGGGTGATTTGAATTGCGTAATAGTCTATCTCCACTTCAAACTGAAGCCATTCAATCATTTTATGCGTTTAGTTATAGGTCTCTTTGTGTGTTCTTTAAATAAATGTAAGAGGAAAACTGACAGACATTCTCATATGAATATTTTCTATGGAATGAAGAAGTCTAATAAAGTATATCTATAAGCAGTTTTATCAGTAAGGTATTGGCATCTGCATCAAGGGGGGGGGGGGGGGGGGGGACGCAAAAAGATCCATTCCCCTGAAGTGCTGTTTGTAGACTGACCAAACAATCAAATGTGGGGGCATTCCTGTCGTATAGACACATTTCTAGTTTCTCTAGATTGGAGCATGTGTAATGTGTTTTTCACTATTAAAGATTTCAATGATAGTTCAGTACATCTTTATCTTTTATATTCAGTTTTCTAAAGATATTGCCCATACATTTTGTATCTAATAGTATTAATTTTTCCCCATTTACAAATAGACTCACGCAGTGATAAACATTCATTGTCATTTAATATCTCATTTAAAATGATGTTTTTATGTTACACTGATATCAATATTTTAGTGACAAGTTGGCATTTTTGGTAATGACAGAGGCTTCATTTTGTAAGAACAAGGATTCCACAAACCATATGCTTGGTGAAGAAATGGCAAACATTAGACTTCTACAAGAGGATGGATTAACAGTTGTATGGGTAAATAAGTTTGAGCTAACTTTCAGATTAAAGCTTTCAGTAACTGACCAATATCAAAGATATTTAGTATATTATTTCCCTGTATAGAACTCTTCCTTTAAATCGGATTTGTGATCATCAGGCTAATAAGATCAGATCACCAAGGCAAGAAGTACATTCTTATTCTACTTAATGTTATAATGTATAGGTCATGTGATCAATATTAGGACCATGGTGGTTTACATTATGAAAAAATATTAAATATTCTGTTTATATACAAGCTCTACTGTTGTGAAAGTAAAGTGATTGGACAATAGCAACCCAAAGCTACATTAAATAACATTTAAAAGAAGTACTATTTCTATGTTAACATACAGAAGATCTAACTTAAATAATTGCCTTTTAAAAAATACGTTTTTGGCCATTTTGTCTTCAGGCCAATATGACTACCGTGTAATTCATTATTTGTTTTTCAGACTGGCATTGATAAAGTCAGAGACCTTAAAAAGAAGAAGTCACTGAGTGCTTTTGCACGCCAGTTATTTTTAGAGCTGTTGACAGGTGAGGACAATCTATTTCAAATGTCATAGTCTCACATAAATCTCGAACAAAAACTTACATGTAAACATATGAAAAGGCTGTAATAGCTGTTTAATGAGTTGTTGAAATGCAAAGTTAGATGTAGATAGGAGATATCTCTGTTTATCCTGTCACTTGTATCAATTTCGGCCCGATAACAAGGTGCCGTATATTTTTACTAATCTACAGCACTTGATCACGTGGTATGCATGTTTGCCGGACTACTTTTCAAGAAAAATATAAAAACTGTTGTTAAATCTTGTGTGTAGAATAACGAATTTTGGAAACGTTGATAAAACTTTGTTTGTTTATTTTATTTCACTCTATAATTTTTCAAGCAAAATAAAAATTATTAAAAGTGAAATAAATGTAAAACTTTAACTTGTTTGCGACATTAAAATAGCGTACTGGATTTATTTGTTTTGCACGTGCTGTTTGGCGCGACATTGTGACGTCACGTTAACAATACTTTAATTAATACGACTGAATAAAAGATATTGGTGTTCGAATTCATTTTCTTAGTTAGACCATTTTCTTTCATTCTAGATAGTTTTCACAACAAAATTCGACAAAAAATTGTTTTTATTTATCACATTTTTCAAACAAAATGGCGCCCTCAATGTGAAAATACACAGGGAGATAATAAGAACGGCGAGTGCATTGTTGTAGAATAATGCAAGCTTCGGGCCTTCTTCCTTTATATAGAAACATTTCCAATAGTGTGATAAAAAGTAGTTTGCCTAATAAAATTCCTTAAAAAAACGGTGACAGGATAAATAGAATAATAGATTGGTGCTGTGGATGAAGAAAGTTTATCTGGCTCTGCTCCGGAATTTATTGGATTCGCCTTCGGCTCACCCAATAAATTCCTCCGCCTCGCCAGATAAACTTTCTCCATCCACAGCACCAACCTATTATTCTCTATAAATATTGATGAAAGTGAGCTTAGACCAAAGAAAAATAATGAACATTCCACTTAGATATTCTGATAATTGATACATAGAGTGTGTAAAACTGACTGTGTTATCTGTTTGAAATTTCATGGGCTAGTGATTCATCTTGTTAGCTCAACTATTCAAAGAAAAGGGAGAGCTAATGTACTCACACAGGTATTGGCATCACCATGGCACTTCAGTTAAGTTTTTGCATGCAAGTTGGTATCTCCAAAACTACTGTAGGAAATGAGTTGAAACTTCAAGTATTGTGTTGGGAGTGTTTACAAAACATTTACTGGTGGATATTTTTGTTAAATGTTGACAATTGCGTATCCAAAAATGACATTATGTAGCAAAATTTTTAATAATGTGTGTAACAGCCACGACTCCTCGTTCTACCAGGAAGTCATCTAATGTGATTTTGAGCTAAATTTTGCAATTCTTGCTGCAGAGTTTGTTCCAGTTGATGCAGGTTGACTACTGGTGGTTCATATCTTTGCCCAAATAAAATTTAAAATTCTAGTTGTGCTCATGTCAAAATTGAGGCAAAATGTGGGGTGTGCATAACTTATTTCCAGGTGTACAACTTATTTTCAGGTGTATATAATGATATAAAATGTGCTTAATTCAGGATTTTTCCATTATTTACAGCATTGATTTATCCAACTTTGTGATGATTATAAACTTACAAAACATCTTTTTTTTATATTTTAGGTTGAAGTCAAAGAACATCAAATAAAGAAAAGATTTAGTAGTGTCTGTGTTTTCTGCCATACATGAAGGTTACAAGTGATACAACTGTTTCCAGATAGATAATACATGTACTGTTTCCAGATAAATAATGAATGTACTGTTCCCAGATAGATTATACATGTACTGTTTTAGATAGATAATACATGTACTGTTTTTAGATACATAATACATGTACTGTTTCCAGATAGATAATACCTGTACTGTTCCCAGATAGATAATGAATGTACTGTTTCGGGGTGGTTTATACATGTACTGTTTCCAGATAGATTATACATGTACTGTTCCCAGATAGATAATGAATGTACTGTTCCCAGATAGATAATGAATGTACTGTTCCCAGATGAATTATACATGTACTGTTTCCAGATAGATTATACATGTACTGTTCCCAGATAGATTATACATGTACTGTTCCCAGATAGATAATGAATGTACTGTTCCCAGATGAATTATACATGTACTGTTTCCAGATAGATAATGAATATACTGTTTCAATCAATGGTGATAGAAAAATAATTCAAATATTTTCTCACAATATGTATTTCTCACATTTTGTTGTTAATTTTGTTGTTCAAAAGTGTTATGAAAACATTTTTATAAAACATATAATGATATTATGCATGAAAGTTTATATTTTTAGTAATAAAATGTTTCTTTTGTTAAAGAAAGTAAATGTCACTGTAGTAATTTTCATTGAAATGAGGTTCTCATTTAACATATTTAGCTCACCTTTTCTTGTCCAGGACATAACTCTGAAACAACAAGAGGTATCAACAGGAAACTTTGTAGGTAGATAGATCTCATTATGTAAAAGTGCAATGCAAAAGAACTATAACTGTCTTGCCTAATTTTTGAGTTATTGCCCTTTGTTCATTTTTACACTTTGATTTTTGTCTGGGACATCATTGAAGTGCAGTGCAAAAAAACATAACTGCCTTGCATAATTTTGGAGTTAGTGCCCTTTGTTCATTTTTATACTTTGAACTTTGTCCAGGACAAGTTCTGAAAGTATAATAGATATGAACAAGACACTGTAGGTAGATGGATCTCATTGAGTAGACCTGCAGTGCACAAGAACAAACTCTGTCTTGCATACGTTTGGAATTGTTGAACTTTGTCTGGGACATAACTCTGAAACTACAAAAGGTATACTTTTCTGTGCCCAAAATCTATTCAGGGAACATCACCTGGTTCAACCGGTTCTTGTATGTTATTTACTTTCAATTGAAATATGAAAAATGCCAAAGAGAAGATTGTCGAGTAATACTTTCTTAATATATTTCAAATTAGTAATAAAAAGCATTTTAAACAAATTGCAACCAGTTCCATATAACTAACAGATATAATTAAACACACACCTGTTTTAGATGTATTACTTTCTAACTCTGATATAGAAGATGCCTTTAGTCCATACAATTGTGTTGTATTTCCAGCCAAACCAGTCATAGAGTCTGCACTTTACTCTAAATGTACTCCAATGAGATGAGCAAATAAATACACATGATATAGTAGACATTTTGAAAATAATGAAACTTGTAGAAAAAAGGTTTTTGCACACAATAGTAGCACCTGATTTGAAGCAAAGAACCACTACTGTAACTGTATGCTTAAGGTGTGTGTTGAGTGCAAAGTTTGTGTTCTTCATATGCATGATCGTGTTCTATCAATACCTTTTACAAGTTAACATCTACTCTATCAATACCTGCTATCTGCATTATCAATATCAAATACAGATAAACTCTTTCGACAACTAGTACAAGTTAAAGTGAATTGGTCTTTAATGAAAGATTGTGATACCATCAATAATTATGTTGATAGGATTAAGTATCATACAAGACAACAGACTGAAGTAATTAGATAAGAGTGTTTTGAGTGAGATGCACGATCCAGTACCATGTATCTATATATAGCAGATAACAATTGTTCTAGAACAAAATATAATTACTCAATTTATCATGGTCATATTGAATCACTTGGAACTCTTATCAACATTTTGATCTGAAAATATTTAATAAGAATATCCAAATGATATATTGCCATTGTTTTATCAATATTTGAAGTTAAGTATGAAAACTAATTTAGAAATTCTTTCTTAACAAGAATAATTTGTGACTTGAATTTAAGCCTTTAGAAAAATGTATGTCAGTTCTGTCACAGATATATAAACAATATTATTATATTTAGCTCCATGGTTCTGTGATCAGCAGAAAATAAAATGAAAATGGGGTAATCCTCTTTTGAAATAATTTTGCAAAAAATTGTTGGCTGCCCCTATAAAACAAGATCATTTTTATGTGTCAGGCATTTTATTCTCCTGGAGAAATTATCTCTTAAGCATATCAACTCAATTTAATGAAGGGTTAGGGACCATTTCACATAAGGTAAGTCTAAAGGGGGAAAAATAAACATTTAGATAGTCTGACCTAAAGCCTTTTCGTATCAATCATCGCTGTTCGCCTTTCTTTTCGCTTTATCTGTTCTCATTTCATTTAAATTCTATAATGCACCGTTTAAATTTGCGGGAAATGTGAATTTTAACAAAAGCGGAAAAAAGTTAAAAGAATAGATCTAGATCTACATCAAAATAGTAATTAAAAGTTAACTTTTTAAATTTTGAGCAGTGATATCTATATACCTGCATTTAATTTTTAACCACTGTCAAGATTGTAAGTTAGTGATGTTCTAAATAAATAAAGAAGTAAAATGTTTATGCATACAAGCGCGAAAGCCGAAAATAGGCGAAATTAAAAAATTCTTACTGCCACCACAGTGTTTTTCTGTGTGCAGTAGATTTTTTTATGTTTCTGTAGTTAATATCAATTATATTATAGAATTTCTAGTTACTGTGATGTCACCAAATTAATGAATATACATTGACTTGGATACTCTAACTCTGTATTATCGGCGCAACTCTACATTCTCTCTGTATTTTGTCATTTGTGGTTATAAATACATTGAAGTAAAAAATCTTGGACATCATTCAATTAAAAATGTAATGACTAGTTGAATTTGTTCTGCTTCACACAAAATATTCATTAATATGAAATCAGGCAAAGCCTTTGAAACAGGGAAGTCGGTTAAAAAAAGTTAATTTTTCCGTTTTGAAGGTGCCATTCGGTATTATATGCACTGCTTCGGTTTTCCCTCGGAATACTCTACGTTCATTATTTATCCAAAAAGGTTGCGATAGTCTGTGATTTGAATATCCCGCCTATTATCATTCAGGGTTCTCACTAGGACTTTAAAACATGGAGTCCATGGACTCCCAACCCTGAAAAAGTTGGAGTCCAAAAGCGCGTCGCAATTAATATGTTTACAGATTAGTTATCTAATGCTCACAATAGCATTGCTGATATTTTGAATCTTCAAGAGACTTTCAAAGTTTATAGTTATTCACAACAAACTCTGAACTACATAGTAAATTTATTGTTTTGTTATTAATATTTATTTTGAAATTATTTTATTATAATGCATCAACACATGGAACTCGTTTTTTATTTTTCACTTTCATACCAAATCCAATTTTATTCTGGTAAAATAAGTCCACTCTAAAGACAAAAAGTTTATATTTGTAAAAAAAAACGTAAATGTATATAGGAAGCGTTTAGCAGAATGAATAGGAAAATCGTGTACAGCTTCACACAGTGTGTACTGTAAGAGATTCATCCGATCGATAATTATATTTTAGCAAATATCTTCAAAAGGGGGCAAATTGAAGATCGATATTTAAAGATTTAATGTTGATTGAATAATAAAGGAACAATTCATTCACATGTTTGGCTTGGAAACTGAGAATTTTTGCGAAATTTTAGGGTTTCTGGCGAAGTGAAATTGCCGATGTTCGGGATCAATTTTCTGATAAAATCTAAATATCAAAGAAAAAAGCGTATGTGTGTTTTGGTTTGTTGCCCTGGAATTTCGGCACAATATCTCAAATTCTGAATACTCTTATAGAACGTTTTTGCAGGCATGAAACGAAAGCAAAATTTTGCCTAGAAAATGCCGAAAATATTCGACAATAATTCAAAATTACACTCATTTGTTATTTGAGAAAACAGTCTTTAAACTTGCGGCGTAAATAGTCAATATTTTTATCCTTTTGTCGGTAAAATTTGCTAATTTCCAATTAACTGTTGATCAAATATATCTCGTGTTATATCTGTTAATTAGACCTACAGCGCGTGTACATACATTAGTCTGATCTCTATTGCGTGATAATGATTGAAAGCGTTATCGCTGATTGGCTAATCGCTTCACGGGTCGATGTGCATAGGACCGCCTACCTATAGACTGACACGCGCTGACGAATTTGTGTATTAGTGGTTGTAAACAATCGGCAATGTTTAAGCGTCCCCAGGCAAAATTAAGCGTACGTGGAATCCTTGCTCTGAAATATTTGCGTCCAGCTGTAATAAACATGCGTACCGGGACGCCGAAATAAGCGTCCCCGAGAACCCTGATCATTGAATTACATTGAAAATGGCGCCGCCCGACTAGAACTGACACTGAAAATTTCATTGATAGGTATAGAATTATATGCATTCTTTGTTTTTTATTTGATTTTCTTTTAAATATACGCATCATGTAGTCTACAGCCAGGCAAGCCAAAGCCTGGGCCCGCTTCGTGGACCCGGCCTTTGACTTCCCCGCATTAAAAACATCAATAAAATTGACTGCAAACATACAGAAAACGTTAAGTATGCCGATAATACCGAGTTCCATGCTACCTCAGAAGGAATTGGCAAGTCATACGGGGTCACGTACGTGAGTCACATAAGGCTAGACGGGACACACTATTATTTTGCTGTACAGCACTTTTCAAAATTATATGAATGCCAAAATGCAAATGTTATTTTATGTTTTTAAAGAGGTATTTTAACCAAGAACCCGCATTTGTCCATGTATGTTTACTTTAATATGAAATTAGGCAAAGAATTTATTTCATATCATTTTAGGATTATTTGAAATCTTGCATTTCTTAATTTCAAGCTATTTTTTATGTTTCTATGATGAATTGGAAATTTGTTGTGACATAATACCATATTTAAGCAAATTTTGAATGTTGCTTTGTTTTCATATTTTCAGTCATTCAGGTTCATAAGGAATCATAATGGTGATGCATGTGGAGTTACAAGCTTCTTGTAGTGCTCTAGGATACCAGGAAGGGAAGTCATATGTTAAAGAGCCAGACTGTATAGGTAAGATGTAATTGTCAACTCTTGCAATGCTCATAATAGCTTAATGGCAGATCTATTCCAGTGAAGAGAACAAATCTTGAAAAAAAATAGTAATCAATAAAATTAGATCATTCAGTGCAAATTACAAACAATAAATTTGGACATTACACATTTTGTATTTGTTTTTGATGTAGTATTTTTTATATCATTAAAAAGAAAACATAAATTAGTAAAGGGACAAAGACATGTACTAACTACTGTGTACCCCAAATTTATTAAGTAATTTAATTGATTTAGGAATGCATCATGAGTTTAATTTTTTCATTTATTTACAGAAACTGTAAAGGATTTAATTCGGTTTTTGAAGCGTGAAGATGAGACATGTGATATACGTCGTCAGCTTGGTCACGCCCAGATTGTGCAGAATGACCTTCTACCTATACTGATACAGTATAGTAACGAGGAAACTTTATGGGAGACAGTCATACGGTATTAAGTTATATACGGTATTAAGTTATATATGGTATTAAGTTATAGCATGTTTGTCATATTGCTTCTTAGATTTTAATGTGATTTTATGAGTTCAAGAAGTATATGTCATAAAGTTATGACATAAAGTATGTAGAGCTCTATGCCATAAAGTTATGACATAGTTTTACTTAATTTTTGTACTGTGCACTGTTTCGGTTGACTTTTAACAAGTAATGGGGCTATACTACTCACACATAAGTTAGTGTCATTTATAAAACCTAGGTTAAGTTTAGCTTTCTATTTCATGTGCAACTTCAAACTACAGAAAGTATATGCTCGAAACTGCAAAAATGTCTTTTAGTTCATAATGATAATTAAAAGAATGCATATTCCAGGCCCAGTATTGTCATTATTGTTGTGCAAAAACTTTAATGTAGCCTTATGTGCTTTAAATGGTATCAGCTTAAGACTTCACATGCTTTCTTATCATGATTATCAGAAAGCACAATTTTTCAGACAAAGGCCATTATTCTAAAATCTATATTTTTGGATGATTGCCCTCGTTAAAGATAGAAATTGTGTGAGTTAATAATATTCTTAAATTTTTCTCAATTACTAAAAATTTTAAGCTTCAGTCTTTAAATATGGACCCCTGGTTCACTTTTGTGTTTGAAATCAACATTTGACCTTGAACAACCGCGCCCTTCATTAAAAAATGTCCTTGTCCAGCAATGGTTATAAAGTGAGTGATTTAATAGTCTTGTTTGTGTCTTAGATTACTGGTGAACCTTACTCAGCCAGCAATTCTATGTTTCAACGGCCAAATCCCAGAAGAGAAGTCAATGAGAAACTATTTCTTGGAAGTTGAGTCACACTTGCAGTTGATTAAAGAGGTATGAATTTTCTTTATAGATATAAAATTATGGATTGTGTCTTTTTGCGACGGACGCGCCCTCAGGCGCGTTCAGAGCTAAGTCATCTACACATGGGATTTCGTTGGCTACTATCGCGCAATGTGTCCTAAACCAATTAACAGACCAAGAAATAGTACATGAATTTGATCCTTCAAAACTCCCATACTTTGTCTGGATATCTTAATGTCTTCCATATTAAGCATTTTCAATTTCAAATTAAGTTATCCAAGTAAAAATATGAACGTATATTATTGATAAAAACGTTGTAGTCCCGTAGTATTATTGCGCAATATGCAAATTACTGCTGAAACGATTTACCGCTGTCGAAAAAGTAGGACAGCAAATTATACTACAATAAAGGTGTAACCTCTGAGTTCCAAAACATTATTAGTAGGAAATAAATATTTCTACATTATACAAAACATTATTATTAACAAATCAAAAGTTTTTCGTGACTCTAGGATAACTCGCGCATTCATAAAAGAAGAACTATTTTCGTGACTCATACCGCGGGTTTAGCTGAATATTCAGCAGTTATTAATATATTAGAAACAGTACAATGGTTAGTATAAATATCTATTTTTGAAAATGCATGTAAGACACTTTACCGCCATGTAGTCTTTCATGGTAAGGAAGTTATAATATCAGTTCTACTTCCGATTCCTGTGGTTTGTTTACATCTTTTACTAGGTCATGATATGAGTTAACCTTCGCTATTCTAAAAATAGATTCTGCTTCACCTGTTCTGATTTTTGGACAGGCGATTAGGAAGTACACATTAAACATGTAATTAATAAACCAGCGGATTGTAATGCAATACTTTTAGAAATGCTATACAATTGTAAGAAGCAAACTAGTTGAAAATGAATTTTAGTGTGAAGTTGAAAAGGACAACTAAACACTGTAGTGCTTAAGTGACATTTAAATTAAAATAAAAACGATGTGCTCTGGCCTCTACATCTTTACCTTGTAAATAAAAAAATCTAAGAAATACACTATTAATTGCTGATGATTTTAACCAATTTTTTTAATGAGACATATTCAAGAGAAATAAAAATACAAATGACTTATATTTTATTGTCTGTATGCCCACTATGATATAACACGAAGCAATTCTAAATAGCATTCTCAAATGTATAATGTATTATGTTTGAAGTTTATTTGCCTGGATTTATTCTAGAAATATTTCGTTGATAGTTTTTTTTCTATTTACATATCATTTCTTAGAATAAATCGATAAGGACACTGATTTACAAGTTTGACCAGAGTTTTTAGGCATACATTTCATTCTGTATTTAAGTGCTTGAAATCGAAAATCTGAATTATATCAATTTGGGACACAAAATATATTGCTCTACAAATCTCGAACTTGTATGGAAAAATTTTTCTCTGTTATATATTTTGTGTTTTGTTTTTGTTTTGTTTTTTTTTTTTTTTCTAAAAGAAGCCTTAATGTCTCTCCGGTTGCATGTCCGTCGCATTCAGTGCTGCAGCACTTTGATTAGTTGAGTGTTTTCTCCTGCTTCTCTTATAAGGTTGGAACCCATTCTGAATTTTTTTTATCATTTTGATATTCTATATTTAGGTGACAAATACTAAATTTAAAAGGTATACATAAAGAAAGATACAAAGGATTTGGTTCTTCCATAATAATATCAAGATAGTTGCTATGATCTAATTAAAGTTGATGTGATTGAAAATCTAAGATAGTTTTTTTACACTTAATTCAGAATTTAATAAGGCTGGTAAAATCTTAGCAATGTAAGACTAGCTTGAGGTTTACTTTACCATAATATGTATCAGTTTTTTTTTACATAACACTGCATTAAATTCAAAGACTAGTGTGTCTATCCTTCTCTGCCCAGCATGAGGGCTGTCATTGAAAATCACGATATTGATATGTCATAGATATTCAACAATCTATACAATATTGTCGTTATTTGGCTTTCAGTATATCGATAAAACGAATTCCAACAGTGACAGACCTACCCAGCATTGTCATAATACCTGGTTACGGTTTCGCATGCAGCTTCATATTTCATTAAAGAGAGATGGATCAAGACCTTTAACTCTAGCATCGAATTTTACTACATTAATCTAATTTGGCGCTGGCTTGTTATATTTTTTTGCTCTCTATATATTTTGTGCTAATTATAAAATGATTTGATTTGAGGGATCAAGGCAACATTGTGCTTAATTTATCTTGTGAAAGAACAAGGTATATGTTGATTATGTTTTCTATATTTCAGGCTTTTATCAATGAGGAAGTTTTTGCTGTAATAACTGGCAAGCTTGGAGATATGTTAAAATTGGTAATCTTGTTTTTACTTTAAAAACTATAAGTATAATTGTTAAAATAGTATAAATGCCACCACCTATTAAATCAGTAAAAGTTTTGAGAAGGAATGCATTTAGGGGCTGAAAAAATTAAATGACCATACATTGAAGCTTGCAGGGAATACTTACATATATGAATCAATTTAGGATCTGACTATGCATGAGATTGACTTACATATATTTGATAAGGAGGGCTGTTGCTATGGTTGTTATAACTTTGTGAATATTTTTGTATTATTCATGTAACCTTACATGTATTTATGTATAGAAAAGTTGCAATAGAATATTAAGAATAGAAGTATTAAACTAAATTGTATAAATATATACATAGCTGACAACTATGAAAAGTGTGATGTCAAAGATTTATTTTTCTTACTAGTTCCATTCTTATCTTATATACCTATACTAATAGTTAGGCCTGGAATCAATGTTGCCTTAAAATATTGATATCTTTAAAAAAAAAAGTTTTGCAAGCATAGTCATAGATGCAGGCACTTTCAACTTGTAACAGGTTTATAGCAATAACTCTAGTTTGGATTTTGTGGTGTAATATTTTATATATAATCAGATTAAAGTCATAAATGTGTTTAAATGATAAATTTCAGGATTGGGAACACAGACATGAGGAACATAGGTTATTGATAGAGCGTTTACTGATCCTGATCAGGAACATTTTACATGTTCCTACTAACCCTGATGATGAAATGGTAAATATTTTTTGAGTGAGACTAAAAAAAAGTTTGGAGCACCACACTAAATACCGTATTCCGGTATATACCGGACACGGCGCTTGGATGATAAAATGCTAAAATCATGTCTTTTTACCCAACGGAATGAACTTTAAAAGGTCTATTTCATCTTTTCACACTGATTTATGTACGATAATGAATGAAAAATTTAAAAATCGACAAAAAAACGATATTTGTCTATTTTTCTGATAATGATTTCTGCAAGCGTCTAGAAGTACTGCTCCAATCCTGTATTGAGTTAAATCCAATATTTTTAAATATTGGCAATTTCTCTTTAAATACTAGTGTTACTAGTACGCTTGACTCGGTTCACCACCATCAAATTTGTAATGTAAATAGATAGTATTATGGAAATCATGCATGTTATTTTGATTTAACCTTAGCTCACAAAGCTCCCACATTTTCCTTTACAGTTTAATTAAATGATTTAAATAGTATTATGCCAAGATATAGAAGAAATTAGGTGTTGCTGTATTTATGGTAGTCCCAAAAAGCATGAAATTTTACTGTCCAAGGCTTAAGGTAGAAGATTAATGTAATGCATGCATCACCTGTGATTTGCTAAGTACATGTAAAGCATTATAGATCAGAAAAAGGTTAAATATGAGCCACGTCACAACGAAACCAACATAATGGGTTTGCGACCAGCATGGATCCAGACCAGCCTGCGCATCCCTGCAGTCTGATCAGGATCCATACTGTTCGCTTCCAGTTTCTTTACTTTGAGTAGGGTTGGTAAGCGAACAGCATGGATCCTGATCAGACTGTGCGGATGCGCAGGCTGGCCTGGATCCATGCTGGTCGCAAACGCACTGTTGGTTTTGTCATGACGCGGCTCATATAAGTTGATAATTGTTTTATATTACAGAGAACAGATGATGATGCTAGTGTTCATGATCAAGTTCTTTGGTAAGCTTTCACTTGCCACAATGATTTTCTTATATTTTGTTCTTATAAATTTTAGTCTTAATCAAATGAAAACACCTATAATACATGTAAATATACTTTAAATGGGTTACATTTTGTTTGAAGAAAAGTTAAATTTTTGTTTGAAGTACTTATTTATTTTTACATCAGGAATAATTTTTTACATAATTTTAATTTGTTCATAACCCTGATACGGTATTGGTCCTATTGACAGATATGTGTACTTTTGTTTTCCTCTAGGGCTCTACATGTTAGTGGATTAGAAGACATTTTATTATATATTGGAAGTTCTGAGGAGGAAAGGAATTTGTCCATGCACATACTTGAAATTGTCTCCCTTATGTTCAGAGAACAGGTAAGAAATGTTATTTATTGTTTTAGTATTTAGCTCACCTGACCACAAGGTCCTTCAGGTGAGCTATTGTGGCCAGATTTTATGTTATTAATTTGTTTATCAACGTAGAACAACTTGAACTAATTCCTTTTCAGGACCAACCAAATTAAAATTGTTTTGGTTTGTGGTACAAAGAGGTTTGTCCTCTTACCTTGTTTCACTCGGGTCGTTGATTGAGGGTCATTATAGTTTGAAGATTGTTAAAGCTAATGCCCTGACCTAAGGGCTATCACTGTAAAGAAAAACATGTCAGAAACTACAAGAAAAAAAGCTTGAAAGCATGTTGCATTGTCTGATGCTCCTCTACAAAGATTGAAAATATGTCACTTTGATCAAAGTTTGCCCCCATTGACCATTTATTTCGTGTCAAGCAAAGAGACTTGCTTACATTTTTGTAATTATCTAGATGACTCAAAAAGTCACACAAAGTTTTTTTGAAAATGGTTTATCCTGTTTCTATCCATCAGAATTTAAAAATGTCTTTAGTTCACTGTATTTTGATTTGTTTGATGACAAAACTTCTTTGACTGGATAGATAGGAGAAAAGCAGCTGAAGTTGTACAGTAGATAAAATGTTGAATTGACTTATTTCAGGATGCTGATACACTGGCTGCAGCAGGAGTACAAAAATCAGAAAGTGAGAAAGTCAAGGATGAAAGGTATTCATATATAACTATGGAAACTGATTTTATAAACATGGTCCTAAAATCTGGCTGCAACTTGGCATTTACTACAGATTTAAGAATATCCTCTCATGAATTGTATTTTAATTGTTGATACCAGAGTGTATCATTATGTAATGCTTTGTTCTTTAAAAACACAAAACACAAGGTTTGGCAAGTAAAGGGTGTTGCTTACAGAAGTAACAGTTTGCTAATTAGTGGTTGCTGATCATGTTCAGCCAAACACATTAAAAGTATAGTGGTATTAGGACTTAAGGAATTCAAAGTTGTCATGATTGCTTGATACTTTGATAAATACATGTATATGAAAGAAGGGTAATCACATTTTACCTGTCTGTCTAAGGGTTTTAGTACCAACAAAAAAGTTAATTCCTTGTCTATCCTTATAACATTTATTTAATTTTATGATCATTGATTCGTTATAACAATATCCTGCCTTACAAAGAGATGTCTATGAATGGGTAAAAGTTGTTGACTTCAGACTGCTTGTCCTACACTGCTTTTGGTTCAAATGCAACCAGGAACTTTAGTTTCTTTTATGTTAGAAAACTATCCAGCAAACTTATGGAACTTTAATATTTCTATACCAGTGCCCACTTGTGCCTGAAATATTTCATTCAGGGCCTCCATTATTGTGACTTAAAACCAAACCAGTTTATCATTTTTTACTATATTTGTCCTTCAAAACATTCTGAATTCCTATAGAAATGTAACATTTGAGAAGTTTCTAGTACAGGTTAGTTAGTACTGGATAGTTTTAAGTGCATTTTATATTTTCAGAGAATTACAAATGGTGAGAGAACAAGAAAAGTTGCAAAAGAAGGCCAACCAGATGAAATTCAGTTCAAGGTATATATTATTGGAAAAGTCTTGTTTAGGTATTAGTTATATCACTCAAGCATTAAAGACTCATCATGATTTCACATATTTTTTGGTTTATGTCTCCACTGTGTATAACCCTCCCAACCCCCAACCCCCCAAAAAACAAACCTGCAAGCTTTTATAGAAAATAAAATATTAGCATTATTTGGGCTTAATGACTACTATTATACAAGGGTTTAATCTCTTTCAGACACTCGCGTTTTGGTGGGACTTTTGTTGTCAAAAATTTCAAGTCAATCAGTGATAATGACCTGATTTACCACAAATCACATGGAGATGTATCAAGAATTAATCTGGACACAAACAAGAAACCGAAAAAGAAGGCAAAGAATCGTAAGCCTATAATTGATAGAGATGTGAAGAGAAGGTCTACATTAAGCATACGTCTGGGATTAAAGGAGTTCTGCATACAGTTCTTAGAAAATTGCTACAATCCATTGATGTATGCTGTCAAGGTAAGGATACTAATATGGGAACTCTGCATTAAGTTTTACCACAATAATATGCATTTGTTTTCACTGGTTGAGATAGTCACTAACTGCAATTTACTGACATATTTATCATACTGGTACTATTTGGTTAGTAGTCTCAGTTGAGACTTGTATGTGAGGAGCTAATCATCATGCAACCTCTGCAATTCAACACATTTTCTGATTGTTGCTGAGGGATGTTGCTCTAAACAAGTTAAGTTTATTATTTTCTTACTTCCTATGCTGTTGTTGTAAATAGATTATGCAGGTCTACAGAGAGCTCCAGTGTAAAGATTGATTTGTATCTAGCTAGCTTACAGAAGTAAGTACCAATGGAATAATATTCATCCATCCATCTTTGGTCTTCCTCTATCAGCAGAAGCTGAAAAGTTTTAATGACCTTGTCAGATTTATTTAAACTCTAACTAACCGCTAAGAAAACATATTTTACAATTTTATTATATAGGACATTCTGAATCGTGAGAAGTCACAAGAACATGATGAGACGTATTATCTCTGGGCAATGAGATTCTTCATGGAGTTTTGTAGACTACACAGTGGTCAGGTTGATCTTGTCAGGTAAACATTTATATTTTAACTTTCTGCCATCATCTGGTATTTCTATATCTCATCACCATTTTACAGGACCGGCAAAATCTGATTTTAACTTGTCCCGTTTTATCTAAGGCATTTCTTAACTTGTCCATATGATATTTATAAAGTCTATTCTTGAAAAAATTCTCTTGTCTGTACAGGCTGTGGGACAACCTGGGCAATACATCTCTGTACTCCCACTACAACCATCACCCAACCTAATTATTTGAAGGGGTTATTATTCAACAGGCACATTGTGGTCAGTTTCATGTGGGTCAGTTGCATTTTAACTTCAGATTGAAACCTTGACTGAAGTGTTTGTCATGAAGCCCAGTTTTGCATATTGCTTTCATCATTCCATTAGATTAAAACTTGGAGTTACGGCCCTTTGAATGTAGCAGTGCCTGTCTGCCATTCTCTTTCCACATGTACTTATCAGTTTTAAATGAAATTTTCACTGAAGTGTTTGCCATCAATTCTTGCTTTGTATATCGTTTTTGCATGCTTTATTTTTAATTTAAATATTTGCAGTTATGGTCCTTTGAATTTTCATGTGTATCTTGCACCTATGGTATTGTTTTCAACCTTCTCATTCAGAGAAATCTCAATAAAGGAATCATAACTGAATGGTTTTCCTTCAAAATTTACTGTGTTACTTATTCAATATTGCCCTTGGCCAGAACATATTTAATTAGATTTATGTATGCCAAACCTAACAGTTTGTGGGCATGTCAAATTACAGTCACATCTCCTGTGGTATAGATCAACTGAGTTGATTCTGATATAATCACTATTGTCTAACACTTTATTTGAAAGGTGTTATGTTATATTTCAGTGAGACGATGTCAGTTCAGGCATTCCACTATATCCAGGTACAACTGTTCCAGTATTATGAGATGCAGCAAATGGAGAAGAAAGAAGCTATTGTATGGGGAAAAAGGTAATTTCAGGTGTCATTCTTTCCCAGAAAACAGATTTGTTGTAATGACCAGTACATAGACATCTAACATGCATGTAGTCTGACCAGACGATACACTATTGGCAGCTTATCATTTATTCTTCGATATCCATGGTTAAAAAATGAGTTATTTTAATTAAGAGTTAAAGAGGTGTTGTAAAAATACAGTTGATCCTTGACTAAAGGACCTGGTATGATAAACAGAAGCTAGATTTACCTTTTTTATCTGTCCACAGTAAGGAAAGAAGTGTGTTTTATGTAAATTTGGTTGAAAAATTGTATAAAGAATGGGCAATAATTATTGTTGTAAAATACATAAACCTTCCATAGATGTCCTAATAAGTTTTATACTCTTCTGTCATATTTCCATATATGGAAAGCATATATAAAAGTATCTACAGCTCTTTTTTAATAAAAGTTTTTTACTCATCTTTCCATATAAGGAAAGATTATTAAAAAAAAGTATTAAGTTGTATATTTGAAGTAAAATGCCTACATATTGTGTGTTCCAGAACTCATCTTGCTCTGAAGGCGTACCAGGAGTTATTGTTAACACTGGATTCTATGGACCGGTCGGGAAATTCCACTTTAATGGAGAGCTCTAAAGTCATTAAGAGTGAGTACTGTTTGTACTGGAACTATATTGTTGAAGTATATTTTTTTAATTTGATGAGTAAAACATTAATCATTGAGGTTAATGAACATTAACCATAATGCACAAAGGAACACTAGAGGTCTCCCTTCACCAGTATAGCTGGAAAGTTGCCATTACAATGTTGGTGCAGCATAAAATCAGAATAAACTAATACACTGTTTTCTGTTTGATTTTGTAGCTAATTGGTGTAATTTTATTAATTTCTTGGTGAGATTTGTAATAAATCATTGAATTTGTAAGATGACTTTTTCTATAGTAGAGTAATACCTTAATGCGACTCTTACAAATTATGGTACGATAAGTTACACTGAAGGTTAGTCTTGTAAAAGAAGTGCCTCTATGAAAGTATGATTACTTATAACTATTATTTGTTGTAATAGTGTGATTAATAGAATATTGCATTCATATAGTTTTATTACTAATTTTATTGAACTTTTTGAATCTGAATGAAAACCAGTTATGCTGGTTAGGGACTGGCATTATAAATTTAATTTAAATGTGATCAATAAATTCAGTACAGAACCTACAGTCATTCAATATTCTCTCTAAATGTGATATCATGTAATAACTAATATATATTGATACAGGTAACATATTCTACACAATGGAATTCCGAGATATATTCCTAACATTACTGCGGCACTTTGATCAGAGCAGACAATCAAGGTAAGTGTAGTTAATGTAGCTGTTAGTGTGCTAGAGGTGATAGTTACTTGACCTTTCCTTACTTGACCTTTCCTCTAGTTTTGAGTCTGGCCAGTCTGTTCTGTGATTCTACTCACATGCCCCTTCATGCCTGAAATAATGCACAGAGAACCACCTTAGGTCTTCCTCCATCAGTAAAGCAGCAAAGCTGGAAGGTTGCCTTGTGACCTATACTGTGCTGATGCATCATAAAACCTTATTTAAAAAAATTGTTCATTCTGACCAAACTCTACTGGCAATTTTAGAATTTTTATTCAGAATTTATTTAGATTTTAATTAATTCCAAATTCAAAGCAAGGCAAATTCATTTTTTTCAAACTTTCACAATTTTCTATGCACTGACATATGTTAGAATACACGTTAGTAGACTTAGTGCTGGGGTAGCTGATATTTCCCCATATAACTTGAACCATGTTTTATATACATAGGTCATATTTGAAAGATCTTATAGAAACTACACACTTGTTCCTGAAAATGCTGGAAAACTTCTCTAAAAGGACAGGTCATCTTGTTGTACAGAAGAAAAAGAAAAAAGTGGTTGGAAGAAAGAAAAAACCTAGGAAAACAGGTACTTCACTCCCTTTTTTTCAGGGACTTACTTCAATGTTTCAAACAATATACATATATTGAATATACTTTTTCATTGTACACAAGGCATATGGCAAGGTTCATGCTTTTTCTCCAGTTTGTTCAAAGTGAATTCTACCACAGAATGACTGCTCTAAATAAAACATTTGCTTATATTTCTCCAAAGGTCAAGGTCATGTTGAACCAAGTGAGCAAGAGTTAGAGGATTTATGGGACGACATTTCAAGTGAATTATCGGCCATATTCCAGGGTCGCAGTGATATTCCCGACGACATTGCTCCTTTTGATGCTGCATCAGAAATAGACGTTGATCAACAAAGGTATTTACTAATGCATTTTATTATCTTAATAAGAAATATATCTGCTTCAGTATTAACACACATTATAACATACCTGTGTAATTTTATGACTCAGTAAAGTTAGTTTTGCACGGTCGTGTATATATTTTATGGTGACATCATTTGCTTTATATAGACATAGCATTAAAAATGGCCCTTTTTCACTTCAAATGGTCTATATTTTTGGTATTTGATAAAAGAATATTTAATTTGTGTAAGTTCATTACTGAATTTATTGAATTGGTCGATTAAAATAATATTATGCTCGCCAGAGACTCGCATAATTTTTGATATTCGACTTGTTCAATAAATTCAGTATTAAACTTACACTCATTCAATATCCTTTATTTCTGTCCAATTAACTGACTAAGGTCAAAGAAGATTTAAGAATATTTCATTAAAGGATAAGTTTGTTTGGATAAAACTCTTCCAACTGCTTGATTTTGTATGTAGTGTGCTATTTTTCAATTGGTGTTAACAATTTTAGGGTTGATGCAATGATTCAGATCCAGAACTGTATGAGAGAGAAGAAGGCAGGGGAAGCAGTAGCTATCTTCAGGGCAGCAAGGTACACTATGATTAATTTGATTATCTCCCTTGCTTTTAGTTTTGAGGTTATCAATTAAATGTAAAAATTGTGAATAGGACTGTCTTGAAGCTTTAGATAAAGATAGATATGTGTAGCAAGTAGAAGGGCAGTTTTGGCCAGTCTTTTTTTTCTTTGATGAATAAATGTGTTTGGGTATTTTATCCCTAATCACCATTTGTTCAAATCCCCTCAGGAATTTCGGATTTTGGTGGTGAGGAAATTATCAAGGTAGAAAATGGAAGGTTGGTAGCTCTGCTCAGGTATACACTTGTGCCTTAAACTATGCATCAAGATGGGGGGGGGGGTGCATAAGGAAATCCTTCACCGGTAAAGCTGAAAAATTGCCATATGACCTTAAAATGTTGGTATGACTTTATACCCAACAAAGCGAACAAACAAAATCTGTTGTAGTTTATGTTATAATTAACAAATCATACTGTATTGAATGGACATATCATAATTTATGACATTTCAGGGAGGTATGGCCTGATCGTAATGAATTTGGTTCAGCAGATATTGCCCCAGAAGATGAATTCATGGCTTTGAGAGAAATTTTCATGACAAATTTACCAAGTAAGTAGTTATGATATGTGAATAAGCTTAAATTCTTCAATTGCTTATATAAGCTGATGTCATGCTTTGGATTGAGCACTAAGGATTGGTCAGTTGCTCATTGTCCACAAGGACTTAAACACTCCAAACATCACAGATTTGATATGATCATCTACCTTTAACAGATTGTTTTAATGATATGTTAGATAATGTTAAGCATTTGAAACTTGGTTACCTGATCAAATCAGTGATTATACTATAATTATATTCATGGGTATTTAGGAACAGTTTGTGTATAATACATGATATGAATAATAAAAATACCTTGTGATTGTATAATAATCTTACACATGCTGAAATATCTGTCAGAAATGTAATTGCAAGTATGTGATCCATTTTCTTGCATATTACCTGTTAAATATACCAGTAGTTCTGAAAAAAATACCAAAAGCTGAACACTACTCCATTATGGTAGCACCTGAATTTGTAACTAATTCAAAACAGTTGGAAAATGTCATCTTCGACAGATTACTCATTTATGGGGATATCAGACTGATTTCATTTAAAACATGAAGAGGTATATCATTGTAAACATTTGAAAATCTTGTCCGATATGCAGAAAATATAGATATTCATATATTGTAAAATAGGTGATACAAAAAAACAATGTTACAAATAACACATTCTTTATTGGTCTACTGTAATCTATTCACACCTTTTACTACATAAATTTATATACAAAAATGAAAACTATAAAGTATGAAGAAATGATGTCTATAACAAAATAAATGAAAATATGACTAGTATTAGATATGCATAAAATAGCATATATATCCAGCAAATACAATGTTTATATTTTATGTTAAATTATTATTTCTACAATTCATAGGGTATAATACATTAAATGTTTATACAGTGTAACCTCTGTATAGCAATAACCTCTACTCAACAAACAGTATCAGTCCTTCCCAGAGTAAGACTTTACAATAAAGTAAACCTCTCTACAGCAATACCTCTTAGCTCCCACCAATATGTTTGTATCTCAGAGGGTGTTTCTCTGTAGAGGTTACATCATCAAATGACAGCAAGTTAAAATAGTATTATGTTGTTAAAGCATTTACAGATAAAGTATGAGTGAAAAGGGGGTTTCTTGTTATTACAAAAATTGTGTAAAGAGACATGCTCATTCTTTAGCTGTCAAAATAAATAGGTAGTATACTGTGCTCCTCTTAGTTTGCGGTACTTAACGATTTGAAACATGAAATAAAGTAACAAATGAAACTTATGGTACAAAAGTTATCAGAAACTGGAGCATATAGGTATTTTCTGCTGTATGACACAAAGAAACAACAATATATTCAGTCATAGTCAATTTTAATTGACCAAACATAGACCGTATGTCGGCCATTTTGAAAACAGTATGTCATCATTTAAATCCCGGTAATAGTGTTACATTTCAGTTTTTTCAACAAACAAGAACATTTAGAAAATGATGATTGTTTCAGACGTATGCACAAACTTAATGGACTATTGTTGCTTTTTGCAGAAATTTGTAAAATGTTGTTCTGTTTTACGTAAAAATCTAGAGATTTGAAATATTTTGCACAAAAACTTTGTTGTTTAGGTGTATGAATAAAATAAGTCAATTCTGGCCAATTTTTACACTGGTCACATGAAAATATGCCATTACCGTGAAATAAGTGATGACGCGGAATTAGTGATGTTGAGTATATATTTCAAAAGATTGGCTATTATAATGGTATTTGACCAATAAAATATTTGATGAAAAATATTACGTTGTCAATTCAGTTTTAACTTATCAAGCATTTACATGTTGTACTTTTTCATATATGTTTTTTATCTTGCTATATAAACATTGTTATCTTTACATGATGAACATTTGTTATTTACAAATTAATTTACAAATAATATTGTGTACAGAAAAAAAGCTATTTTGAAATCATCTACATCAACTGCTTGAAACTTATTAGGCTTTGTGTAGATAATGTAAATGCACAAAAAATACAGACTTAAATCTCATCAGCAACCTATACAACTGATTATATACCATGTTAAAGAAATAACACCACATTAAAAGTTTTCACTACTTATTACTTTACATTATCCAAGTATTAGCAGTTACTTACAACTAAAATGACATTTGAGCACTTTGCCCTGTGTAAAAATTGAATATCAGTACAATTTCTATAGCACACTTGTATTGGTAGAGTTCTTATTAAAGACATTATGCCTTTGATATTCATATTGCAATAGTTCACACTCTAAGATGCTATCCTACAATACCTATCACCTGCTATATTTGTGTAATGAATATGTACGGACATACGGACTGGCCTGGCTCTATTATGTTGGCAAAGGCTCATCATTTCTAGTTGTAACAGATGCAGTGTTAATAACTAAACAGTCTTGCGATGATTTGAATTTTTTTTATAAGTGTACAATATCTATTCTTATGAAAAAACTTTGCATTTTTTTTGTGCGAGATGTCTATGACACATATTCACATGCAGTAAAAGTTTACGCATCTACATCCAATATATAGACTTTCATGTCCGTGTCTGTTTGATTTGTTATATCCTCACTGGCACGAGATGTTGTTGACCCCCTCTCAGCACGTGACATTTTCCTGTGAACTTTTGGTTCAGTTCTGCCATTTGTCTCCGCAATAAAGACATAATCCTGACCTTCACTTTGATGACGACTTATCTCCATTGCAGTATTTCTCTTCCTTTGCCATAGTTTATAGATAAGAAAAGCACCTAACAGCATTACAGCAATCACTGCAGTAGCCATACCAACAGCTATTCCAACAGTTTTCAGACTTGATGAACGACCCCCATTCTTTGTTTTCGGTTGTTTGTGTTCATTGTCTATGCTGTTGTTGTTGTTGTTGTCATGGCTGTCAGTTGTAGCATTCTTTTCTTGTGTTTGTTCCTCCTTTGATTGTATTGTTGTTGTTATATCACCAATTGTGGTCTGTGGTGTTGTTTGTGTATTGTGTAACAGTTGCTTAGTTGATGTTGGTAAATCACTAGTAACAGGCAGATTGGCAGATATACCTTTGATAGTAGATCCATCCATATAGTCATAGTGATAGAAGGGGTCATCATAGTCAATGCCATGATAGTAGTCTATTGGTGGTGTAGTTACTTCAAAATATGCATCATAATCAATGGTGTGATTTGGGACCAAAGTTGATGCACGATCTGTAATGGAACTGTCATTACTATGGGGATCAGTCTTCTCATAGAACTGCCATATTTTTATATCTTGAACTCTTTCACCTTGAAGATGGTGTGGTAGGAAACAACGTACATGATCAAACTTGTGGAATTTTTCTGGTTCAATACTATGCCATGTTCGCAACCATAACAGATTAGCATCGCAATGGAATTTGTTTCCTTTTAATGACAGTTTTTTAATGTTTGGCAGGTATGTTGCTATGTCAGAACTCAGTGATTCAAGTCCATTGTCTTCAAGATTCAACTTTGTTATTGTTTTGATCTTTTTTCTTTCAATGATAAGATTGGTAATGAAAAGTTCTGCTAATGTTGGACTCTCCTGAAGCACAAGTTCTTCCAGGTTTGGTAAATTACGGAAAATATTCCCGTGTACTTGATCCTTTGAGATGTGAACAAACGACATTTCCAGTTTTGTCAGTGAATTCAAATGGGAGAAGCAGTCTTGATAGATGGCTGTCAACGTTAGACGATTTAGATTTAAGTATTCCAGCCCAATAGCGTATTTAAATGTGTTATCTTGTAAAACAGACAGTTTATTTCTTTCAAGATTTAGTTCTATAATTGACTCTAAATTAAGGAAGACGTTTGCTTGGATTGAGGTGATGTTGTTGATACGAAGAGACAGAACGTTTAATCGAGTACCATTCTGAAACATGTTTGAAGGAATAGAGTTGATTCTATTGTTGTCAAGATGAATGCTTTTGATATTGGCGGGAAATGGACCTGGCACTTTCTCGAGATGATTAACAAACAGGAAAAGGTCAGAGAGGGATGTCATGTCCTGGAACGATCCCGGTTCAATGTGAACTGCACCATTGTTCTCTAAAATCAATGCATTTAAATGGCTATATATCTGTGTATCTGACCTTGAAATTCTTTGTATTTTGTTTTTCGTTAGTTTAAGATATTTCAATGATGAAGGAAGGTCATTAGGAAATGTTGATAAGTTACAAGCTGTTAGATTTAAATACTGAAGCGTCATGTCGGTAGGAAAAAGATTGGCAACTGATGTTAGAGGGTTAGCACCAATTTCTAGAAGCATCAACATTTTCATATTCCGGAATGCTTGTGGATGAATGTATTTAATTTTGTTGTTGTTAAGTTCAAGATGATGAAGGTGACTCAGATCTTTAAACGTGTCTGCAGAGATAACGCAATTTGATTATCCATTAAACTGAGTCTTTCCAAATGTCCTAGACCATCAAAAAGCCCATCGACTGAACCTAACAAGTTATCTCCAAGCCGAAGCTGCTTCAGTTTTGTTAGGTTGCTAAAGATGCCGTATGGTAGAGATGTTAAATTATTTCCTTTCAGTGAAATTGTTCTAAGGAATTTCAGTTTGGTGAAAGCATATTGATCAACGTCTGTAATTCCACTGTTTTCCGCATTTAATTCATGAAGATGATGCGCTCTACTGAATGTAGATGTATTCAGTGTATCAATGTTGGCATTTTGAATATTGATTACAGTAGTGTCTACTTGTAAATTGTTAAGGAACTCACTGATGTTCGGTCCCGAACATGTCAAAATTGTTGCAGTATAGTCACAACCAGGTGTTATACAGCTTATGTAAGATAAATAGCAAACTAATATCCAACAGTTACACAGAATATTTCCAGAAAACATTGTCATCTTTTTAAAAATCCTTTTCCACTGAATTGTCTTTTATGGTATAAATGCCCATTACCTAATGAAAAGCTTTGATATAATTGCTTTAGTTGGAACAAAAGCTATTGTCTCAAACAGGAATAATCTGGA